CCGTTCTACAAAAATCTAAAACTAGTCTAAAATAAAGCATTTGTTGTTTAAAAATAAAATTTGAAGAGGAGGGCCATTAATTACATACATTTCCATAGAAAAATGGCTGTAAAACACACCAGCCACAACCTCCAACCTGGTACCTGCTCTTATGTGCACTTAAGGAACAGCTATTTCCATTCTTCCCCTACAAATACTCGGCCCCTCAAGCTCTTTCCCGAAGCAAGAACTATGCTGCTGTGGGACAGGGCTGGGCTGATACACCGAGACTTACGGTAGCAGTCTTCTGCTCGTCAAACCTGGAGAGCTTCTGCAGTTCTCTGTAGACTGTTCCCAGAGACGCGTACTCAAGGATCAGGTAAACTCTGGTGGCATCATGGAAATAACCGTACAGCCTGAGAATATTAGGGTGCCTGCCACAAAGGAGGAAGAGACACTAAGGCCTGGCATGGGAGCTAACAAGAGACGAAGTCCTAAATATCAAATAAACCTTCCTGTGAAACCAGTGGCATTCCAAACAGGCTCTGCAGAAGCCAGACCCTCTCAGACAGAAGCACAGCCCCCATGTCTCATCTTCCATCCAAGTCCAAGGTGTTCATGGAAGTAAATTATTTCTTTCCTTTGGCCATGCTATCAAGAGGGGCCAGGGTCTGCACAAAGTCCTCAGCTGGATAAACTGGAGGGTCAGAGAGACACAAAGACGTCCAACGACTGGACTGCCTGACACGGGCCGTTAACAAAGGATCAAGAAATGGAGAGGAGGGCCAGGTCCTGCGCATGGGACCGCTGAGTCACAGCCAACTCCACGGCCCCTGACAATGGGCACCCTCAACTGGTGACTACTCACAAAGGGAAACAAGAGAGGGGCATTTCCACGGTGCCCTGCTCCCCGAGCACGAGACAGAGGGCGTGTCGGCCAGTGCTGGCAGTGGATCTGAGCTGCTGGGCCGGGCAGGGCAGGGCAGGGCAGGGGCACAGGCAGGGCAGGGGCACAGGCAGGCTGGAGCATGAGCTGGAAGCCAGTGCTGTGTTGTGTGGAGCGGCCTGAGGAAGCCAGGTTTTGAAGTGTTGGCAACCCATTCAAATTGCTGCGTGACTGAAAGCAAAGCAAACCCTGTGCCCGGATCTGCCTCAGACTTCTCGCCCACGAAATCACTGTAAAGGCTGCAAGACACTCTGCAAGTTAACTGTCCACCAGAAAATACAGCTGCTCAAGCAAATGACTGTATGAACAAAACAGCAAATCTGCAAGGGAGTCTGGTTGGGGGAGGGGTTGCCAAGCAAGCCAAGATTCATCTTTGGGGAAAAAATTCACATATCTAATTACACGTTTGATACCAACACCAAGTTCATGCCAACTCACAGCCACCCCGAGGACAGAGCAGAACTGCCCCACAGGGTTTCAGAGGCCGGAAGTCTTTACAGAAGCTGACCGCCGTATCTTTCTCCCACAAAGCAGCTGTGGGTTTGAAGCCCTGACCTTCAGGTTTGCAGCCCAACGCGGAACCTCTGGCACTGGCTGGGCTCCTTGCAGTGAGGGCCCCTGGCGGCTGCCCGCCTCTTCGCAGCGCCCTCTGGTGCTCACCTCAGGTGGGACTGGATCTCCACCTCTCTCCGCAGCTGGTGCTCCACACCCGCCTTCTCCAGCTGAGCTTTAAACAGCACTTTCAGAGCCAGGATGAACTTGCTCTGTTTCTCTCTGGCCAGATAAACATTACCAAACTTTCCTTTACCCAGCGGGCGGCCAATTTCAAAATCTTCCAAAGTCCACTGCCTCCTAGGAAAGATGGACATTTTAAATGAGAAGAAACAAATCTTTTCTGGTAGCTCGTCAACGATCACGTAAGGTGCACCTCTGTCCGTGATTTTACACTTGCAATGAATGCATTGGCTCTGAAGCCTCCGTAAGAACCAAGCTGACCCTGGGGCTTAAGGACCACAGTCTCAGCGGCCTCCAAGGTCAAACAGTGTAACAGACTTCAGAAAGAATGTTCTCTGTGCTGCTACGGTAACAAAAACCAGCGGCATCAGAATTCCTCTGGATCAAAGAAGAGAGAAGAAAATCAAAGGCTCATGGAAACATTTAGTCCAAAAGATAAGAGATCAGTCATCTCCATCACCCTGAGCCCCAGGGAACTAGACAGTGCCCAGATGCCCCCCTTAACTGCTGTTATGAGGATCGCAATACAAAGTCCTGGATGGGGCGGGGGCAGTGGAGGACAAGATGTAACGTCGCAAAAAATGCCAGTTACTGATCCAATAGAAACTGGTGGAACTGCCGAGGGCTGCGACACTTAGCCAGCCCTCCCACCTGGAAGTGAGCCCACGCTGAGGGACCAACTTTGAAATGACAGACAGGCCTGTGAGTGAGTAACAGCAGGGAGGTGTGCCCCCTCAGGGACCAACGGGCAGGGTCTGCTCACGTACAAAGCTCAGGAGGCAGGGAGGTGGGGCCGAGAAGGGAGGTGAACAGACATGAGGAACCCAGGTGGGAAGCGGGCAGTGTGTGATGGGGAGGGCACGACATGAAATACAGAATGGAAAATTAATCATAATAAAATACCCAAGCCAGCAGCGGTGCAGTGACTGAGTCTCCACAAACACATGCCCCAGGTCCCAGGACTGGCCTCCGCTCAGGGACAAGGACTTAACAAAACGGCCCAGAGGAAGAACTAGACAAGCAGGTGGAGGCGAAGGCTCTGGGACGCCTGAGTTCCATCTTCTTTCCCCATCCCCATCTCATTGAACTTCTCAGACTGAAAGCCCCTTTGGTGGTGGATACTGAGCCAATGTCACAGCCAGGAGCAGTCTGGACTCCAAGAGCCACTGGACTGAGAAGCCAAACTCCTGGTGTTCTCAGGCCAGGCTCCTCCTGCCAGACTCTGGGGTCTACACCCTCCAACACCGAGTGCAGGCTCCTAGAGACGTCTCCCAGGGGGAGACGTGACGGCAGCTTTACAATAAACACACCCAATGCCTTTATTATTCAATAATGCGGCCATCACATACTAAGTATATGCACATGTCCAACAAGACCACGTTCTGTGTACAACACATTTACTCAAGCTTTTTCTAACTTGGAAGTGCACAACTTCTGAGTCACTAATAAATATTTGAAAAGATAAAATTCCCTCTTTAAAAAATAAAAAGATTAGTAACATGGAAGCATTCTGATAGCACTAAGTGAAAATAGACTGTTTTGTTTGATCTTTTGGGGGCTTTTTTTTTTTAAAGAAAAAAAAAGTTCTCATAACCAGAGTTCAGGACCACAGTCACGATCAGTTGGTCTAACAGAGACCACAAGGTCAATGTACGACCTTCCACTCTGGTGAGCACCATCTAGCGTCTCAAAAGCTTGGGAGCAGCCCTCGAAGGAGCAACTACTAGTCTCTCCCCAACTGAAACAAAACAAATTGGAACAGACGTGGTCTCTCCAGTCAGTGGGCCAGGCAGCTGTCCTCCAACTTCTGGCACAGACTGGGGAGTACATCAAGGGCTGCATCTGTCATTTAAAACACCTCAGCTGGTATTCCCTCAGAGTGCTCCTTGGAGGCAGTGATGAGAACAACTTTGTCTCACGTACTCTGGGCATGTCGCTAGGAGAGGCTGTTCCTTGGAGAGGGACATGATGCTTGGGAAGGTTGAAGGATGGCGAAAGAGAAGACCATCTCAACCAGTGGAAACAACAGTGACTGCAGCAATGGGCTGCACTATGAGTCATACTTGACCTGACAGCACCTAACAACAACAACCAGGATAAAAAAAATAATTGAAATCACCTCAGTAACTCAAAAGTCAGTCAAACAAGGAATAACGTTGCACGCCTTAGAACTGCTAACCGCACGAGATCAAAAGGGCAGCATCTGCCCAGCAACAAAGCTCGTAAGACAGGAAGGGATAAGGAAGGGGAACTGGAAAGGCGATGCACAGGGCGAGAGGAGGAAGCGCTGTGACACCGTTGGGGTTTAGACACTGCTGGGGTTAGAACCAGGGTTACAAAGTATCTGTCCCAACTGTTGAAGGGAAAACAAGTTTGCTCTGTAAGCTTTCACACAAACCAAACCAAAACCTTAAAAAGTGTTGTTTTAAAACAGTTTCCCATAACTTTGCAGTGGTGTATTCTACAATGGGTGGTATATTCTAGCACATGAAAAAATTTTACAAATAAGATAAAGCTTACTTTTTTGATTCTTCTTTTTTCTGTTTTGATGCCAGCTCCTTTCCCGGATTATTTCCTATATGTAAATTACAAAAGAGATGAGCCCAATTATATATGAATAGCGATTGATGACAGAATGATCACAAACACTGGCATCAGTCAGCAAAGGCCTATGCCAACTCCTGTCACTTCATGCATCACAGCGACTCCCACCATCACCCTGCCTCCCACCGGTGACATCGTCACGGAATTTCCAGAGTAAAACTAGGCAGATACGTACAGATTCCCTTGAAATTCTGCTTCTATAGCAAATTTACCTGACGGACATACACCTTTTAACCTTTTCCTAATAGGTGAGGTCCACCCACATGTCCTTTCTAATCACCCCATACAAAAATGATCCCCACGGAAGCCAGGTACACACAGGGCCCAGGAGTAACATGCCATCAGCCAAGCAGAGAGATGTGTAACTGCGACATTTCCACTTGTTCCCCCTTCCAACACTGCAAACTCCTCCATCAGATCATAGTTCTGTTACGGAACTGTGCCCCTACAAATGTCAACTTGGCTAGGCCACACTTCTCAGTATTAGGTAATTACTATTAATTATTACAATTCATTATCTGTGTGTGACTTGATATAATTATGGGGTCTGCTGCAAGCAAATCCTGGCCTCTGCAAAACCCAGCAGAGGATGCTGACATGGTATCCGCCTGACGGCAGGCAGTCAGACTAATTTTGAGTTTCTGATACTTGGGAGTGAGGCAGGATTAGCAGGCAGAGTACACTCTCGAGGGCTAGGCTGCACCTGGAGTTAATCTCTTCCAGCATATAGAGTTTAAACAAGCCAGCGCAGATGAGGCCTCTACCCATATTGAGAAGCGTTAGGAGCACAGCTCCTAACTAGGGAGTCCAAAGGACTAGGAAGTCCCTGTGCTGAGAACCAAGACCCAGGGTAGATGGCTGACAGGACCTTCTCCCAGAGCCCACAGAGATGCCTGCCTGCTCCTGTGAATGATATCCTAAATCTAGACTTCTAGCCTCCCAGACTGTGAGGGGAGCCCTGCTGGCTTAGTGGTAAGAAACTGTACTGCCAACTCAAAGGCACTCGGTTTGAGCCCACCAGCTGCACTACAGGACAAAAGAGGGCAGCATCCTCCCATGCCATGTATTGCCTCTGAAAATCCACTGGCGGGTCAGCTACGGGTCAGTTCTGACCCACAGGTACGTAACATCAAAGACTACAAGGATATATTCTTGTTTGCTAAATCCACTCATTTTTCTGTAACAGCAGCACTTCCAGAACTAAGACATGATGCAAGTGGTTTGGTTTCCTCCGTGGCTCACTCCCCCATCCTGCAGAACTCCCCTTCCCTCCTCCAGGCCTCATTTAGTGCCAGCTCCCCTGCGACAGCCCCTACCCGGGCTCTCACCGCTCTGTGCAGCTGTTAACCTTTCAGAGCTTCAGCTTCCTCTTCTGTGAAGATGAGTCAGTAGCACAGGCCACGTTCAGAGTGGTTATGACAATGGACCAGGGCAGACAACGAAGGAAGCACTAAGAGCGTCGGCTGTGTGTAATCACCAATAGTAACTTAACTATGCACACCACACTGCCCGGCCCTGTCCTGCCGAGGCCACTGCACTTCTGGCCTAAACCACGACCCTAACCCGTATCAATACCAATCAACGTATCAGTCCCTAATAGCCCTCCATCCAGTACTGACTCTCCGTCCATTCAACACATCCAGTGGGAGTTTTCTACAAGCCCATCCTCTGCTCAAAACCCCTCAGCTGTTCTTCAGCACACTACATGAAGACACACTTCTAACATGGCCAACGACGTCCATGGCGACCCACCTGCTCAGCCTCAGTTTACCCATGTGCCCCCAAGCTCCCCTAACACTTTATAACCTGACCACTTCCAGGACGTACTCGCTGTTATAAACCAAACCAGGGCTGCCAGCACTGGGTCAGCTCTGCCTCGGCGACCCTTCTGGACAGAGAACTGCTCACACAGCCTCCAGGCCGGCATCTTTACAGAAACAGAGCCCCATGTCTTTCTCCTACGCAATGGCCAGAGAACGTGAACCATCAACCTTTTGGTCAGCATCCAAGTGCTGACCAACGTGCCAGCTGGGCACCCTACAATGCATGAATGACGGAGAGATCAGGAGAACAGGGACTGGAGCGTGTCTTCCCTACCTCCCACCTGTCCCGTGAGCGCAGTGGCTCTCTGCATTTCTAGTGCAGGTCTGGCCCACAGCAGAAGCTACCTGCCTGTCCTCAATCAACAGAACTCCCAGCTGGAGCTCCAGACAAATGCAAGTTCACACGCTTGCTTGTTGCTATAATTGGGAAGGTGATCTGGGATGTGTCTCCAGGGCTGCTTTACCGGCTGCTGACGGTGGGGCCTGCTCACTCCTGGGGCCACTGCTGGCCAGCTTGGAGACGGGACGAGGGGCAGTGGTGGTGGGCAGCGGCTTCTGTTTAGGATGCTGGGCCTGACTCTTGCTGGGTTTGCGGAGAGGGACAAGCTTTGGTGCATGTGACGGGATGCTCCGGTATGAGTTGGCGGGGCACAAGACCCGCTGCGCCTGGCCACCACTTGCAGACAGAAGATTCTGAGATGGGAACGGCTGGGTCACCGGCACGCGCTTCGGCCCATCACCAAGGGTAAGAGCAGTCTAGGTTGGGAGGAAAGAGAAAAGCAATTTTACGGTCTTTGCGGAGGAAAGCTGGATATCTGGGATAATTTCACATAGCCCATTTCATTACATAATAAATGATAAGCAGGGCTGGGGGGCTGCCCCTTGAACAAGTCCCCCCAGAAGGCCCCGTGCACAGCTGCGGGGACACCTGTCAGATCTGCTGGGAGCAGCCCTCAACATTTCACTAACTCCTCTCAGAAAGCACCGGAACCCGTCATTGGCCCACAGTCGCAGGACATGAGCTAAAAGCTGAACTCTCATTTTGAAATGTCTTTGAATACGTTTAGGAGAAAAACAGAGCAATGCGTGAAGTCAATGGTGGTTATCTTCCAGGGCACAAGTTTGCAAGACTGGTGGCATTTTTAAATTGACCAAAATTAACACAAAAATCTCACTGCTACTGAGTCAATCTGGACTCACAGGGACTGCGTGGGACCAAGAACTGCTCCTTCGGGTCCCCAGAACTGTGGCACACTGGAAGCCAACTGCTCTCTCTCTCCTGCAGAGCCACTGCTGGGTTCAAACCGTGACTTTGAGCTTGAAAGCAGAGTGCTTTAACCACCATGCCGCCAGGGCTGAGTCAGCTCCTTCCCTAAGGCTTCACCGTCTAAGTCCTTAACAGTGGTCCTGAGCAGAGAGTAGTCTGGCAGAGGAAACAATGCAGGCTCTTCAAAACGATATTATCAAAATGTACAAATTCCATACCTAAGGAAGGGTCATAAGGAGCTCTGGTGGCATACTGTGTTACGTGCTGCACTACTAAACAAAACGTCAACAGTTCAAATCCACCAGCTGCTCTAAGAGAACTGAGAGATGCGGCTGGCCCCACCCAGCAGACCTGCAGCCTCAGAAACCCAGCAGATGATCGCCAATAGTGAGAACCAACCCCAAGGCACTGGGCCTGGTTTTGTCTTTATATGCACGTCACAGTTCGCTGTGTGGCGGGGCTGCTGCCCAAGAGGGTAGCTGTTTAGATCCACCAGTTGCCCCACAGGACAAAGACAGTGTCCTTCAACATTCACAACATCAAAATCCTGATGGACGATCATTATGAGACGGAGTCAACTGGAAGACGGTGGGCACCATGTACAGAGGAGCTTCGTGGTACTGTAGGCTAAGCTCTGGGCTTGTAAGGTTAGTGGTTCGAATCCACCAGCAACTATGCAGCAGACACTATGCAGCAAAAAGAGGAGGCCCTTCTCCTCCGTCTGCCAGAATGACCCCGACAGCAGTGGACTAGTGTGTCTGGGTGTCACGGACACTGGTATCCTCCTGGGTACAGTGGAGGACACAGCTCACCGAGACAAGGTGGAACCAGAGCCACTCTAAGGGGAAGGGACACAAGGTTCTCCAACACCGAGACCGGCTCCCTGCAGAGCTAGAAGTGGCATGGCAGCCCCAGCAGACAGGGACCAGGCCCCACTTCAAACACAACGGGAACTGAATGGTTGCGTCACCTTAGCAGGTCCTGAAATGCAGTTTTCTTTACATTTCTCCATGATACCTGAAGGGGAAAAGAACAAAACCAACCACCTTTAATTACACAAATCTACCTGCTGCAGGTGCTCCCACTCGGCTTAGTTAAAAGCCACAGCCAGACACACAACTTCCTTCCCCAAATGAAGAGGGTGAGGGCGGGTTTTCTGTCCTGGGTTATGAGGCTGGGAGGCCTGTGGCACAGTGGTTAGGACACCTGGCTATAGCCCAAACTCCTGAGTTAGTGATCTGCTCTGTGGAACCCCCCCCCCCGCCGGTGGGTACACCTGCTTTAGCCCTTCCTGTCTTTAATACCAGCCTCTTTACCCAAGACGAGCTCAAGCCATGGCCTCCTCAAGTATGACTCCCTGTTTCCACAAGCTCTCCCATTCTTCAGGCTACTCCTCTCGGGTTTTCATCCCCACCAGGGCCAGGAAGGGACCCTTTGGTTGCCATCCCAACAGTCAGTGATCTGTTGTTTGACAAGGTGGATACAACTTCTTGAGCCTCTTCCTTCACTCGGCTTCCAGGGATCTCCAGCCTCACCAGCTCGCCCCACTCAGCCTCTTATCCTACGTCAGCCTTATTCGGCTCAACCTCAAAGTGTGTGGGCAAATGAGGTATCCAGGAAGGAGACCCGACTCTTCCCCTCCTCACTACCTCAGTGCTTGGACCCTCTCTGTCCTCATTAGAACTCAGATTTACATCTGCAGAACTACCCCCTACCCTGACCATCCACTGACCACAGAAAGTACCACAGCAGCTAAACCTTAACAGAAACATCAAAGCTGCTTCTCCCATCCCCTGCTCATGGAAGTGTCCCAACCTCAATCCAGAGTCTTTCTCTTTTCACAGGCACTCACTCTCCAGAGATCCCTCCTCTCCGCCTATAACACACTTCCCGAGCATCTCGTCCAGTCTCCACAGGTGCTGTCAATGTGACTGACTTACAAGTAACACAGCAAACATCACCTGGCCTTGTGCCGTTCTCAGCAGCAATGCTGTGTATAAGCCGCTGTTGCAGCCCCATGTCAGCCCGTCTAGGAACATCTCCTTCACCAAGCCTCCACTGTACCAAGTGTGAGTCCTCTCTCCAGCTTACAGCCCTTTCTTGAGCTCCAGCCTCCAACTTCCTAAAACCCAAACAACCTCTAAGAAGCCCCGGGAGCACACTGGTTAAAACAGCTGGCAGCCAATCTTAAGTTCAGTACTTCTAACTCACCAACTAAGAAAGAAGAGGCCGCCTGCTTTTGTGAAAATTTACAGCCTTGGAAATAACAAGGCACTTCTACTCCTTCCTAACTGGTGGCTATGAATTGAAATGAACTTGATGTCAGTAGGTTTGGTTCAGATTTGTGCAACATCCCCATCTGACCACCTAAGGGACATCTCAATTCTAACACGTCCTAATCAGAAGGACTGAGTTAGCGAGCTCTGGTGGCCTAGTGGCAAGAAACTGCACTGCAATCCCAGAGGTGCGCGGTTCAAATCCACCTGAAGGAGGAGGAACAATTGCCTCCTGTACCAGTCAGATCCAATTTGACGGTACACACATAAAAAAAATAAAAAAATAATAAATAAATAAAAATTTAAAAAAAAAAAAAAAAAGGACTGAGTTGTCCCCGGATCTGTTCTCACAGTAGTCAGCACCTCGGTCAATGCCAAATCCATCCTACCAGGTGCTCAGTCAGGCCAAAAGCTCATTCTCTCAAATCCCACAATCTTCGAGGTCACTGCTTCCGACCTCTACCACCAGCATGTGGTCAAATAACTCTCTCTGGTCCACCTCCTCATGTCCCTCCTTACCCCACTAATGTCCATCTAAAACTGTTACTAATCCCAGGTGAGCAGGACAGAGTTTCCCCCACCCCAGAACCACGACCCACAGTTGCTGCTGGGTGCCACTGGCTCTGGTGCAGCAGTGTCCCGACATGAGGTAGCAGCACTGCCACATAAGGCTTTCTTGGTTATGATCTTTACAGGAAGCAGGTGGCCTGGTATTTCTCCAGCAAAGCCGCGGAGAAGGATCCAGCCACCATTCAAGCTTCCTTTAGCAGTGAGCCTCTCCTAAGCAGTCACTTCTAAAGTAGCCCCCGTTCAACTGCCTCGGAACACCCATCACAGCTGGAAGCGATCTTGTAGTTGCTGCTTCCCCATCACTGATGCTAAAGCCAAAGATGGCAACGACTTTTTTTTTTCCGCGTTTTTCTTCCTCATCTGCTCAGTGATACGATTATGAATCCCTTTGGAAAAATTCCAAACATTACTGAACAACTTTCACCTGCTTCTATGGGAATAAACAACAAGGGGCATTTCCAGGGCGCCTTGGTGACTGTGGGCCGCCGGACAACGGCCTGGAGGGCCCAAGTGCACAGGCAAAGAGGGGGACCCTCGTTGACCCTCACCCGGACCCCGCAGCCCCAGCCCCTCTCTACCCACCCTAAGGCCGCCCCCAGCCTGGCAGCCCTCGGCCCGGACCTCAGCCATGCCCAGCACCCACTGGTCACCTACCACTCCTTACGCGGGGCCACCACGTCTTCCCAAGAGCTTAGCCGTTAGGAAGCCAAACCTCTTCATTTTAAATATGAGTTAAACCCTCTAACCCGAAAACTGATTGGCCTGCGAGAAAGAGAAGGTGCCCTCTGATTGGTTAACCACTGCCCGGTATTCGGGTCACATGACAAGGCAGAGCGCCGCGCAGGCGCACTCGCTCTATAAGCTCTCGGAAGTAGGGGCAGTGGCGGCCAGCGAGTCCCGTAGGTGTCCTACGCCCGCCCGCGGGACCCTCCAGGATCGAGCATCTGTCCAGGAGACAAAAGCCTGAACCAGGACTTCCTCGCAGGAAATAAAGCCGGGAGAGGCGAACGAACCTCCCGAACCTGCCAGTAAGTAAGATGGCGACGAGCGCAGGAGCGCGGGCGGCTGATCGCTAGCGCGGCGCGCGGCGCATGCGCAGTTGAGCGTGCTTGCGCAAGCGTGCGCAAGCGTGCGCGAGCGCGCGCGCACAGTTGAGACTCTTCCCCTCCTCGCTACCTCAGTCCTTAGACCCTCTCTGTCCTCAGTGCACGCATTTGAGCGTGCGCGCCGAGCGATCGACCGGGCAGGATTCGTCCCTCCATTTTTCCGAGAGGAAGCGGGAGACCGGGAGAGACGGGCCAGCGGGTAAGTCGGTTCCCGCGGTGCGGAGAGAGGGGCTACGCGGTGGGCTGGGGCCTGCGGGAGTCCGCGGGGAGGACGGGGTGGGCGGGAGCTCCGAGATCGAGCAGGGCGGCCTGCGACCGGGGGCCACGTGTCCTGGGGTCGGGCCTGTACACCCCGCTTCATTCCCACCCGGTGCTCGTCTAGCCGCGGTGTGGGGGTGACCCCAATCCTGGTGTTACGGGCTCCGGGGTTCGGACGGGCTGCCCAGCCATGCGCCATTGGCGGGGTCCCCCACCTTCCAGACCTCCCCACACCGCCGTTGCCTGGGGCCCCCGGGCTGCCTTCTGTGTACTCGGGATGAGCGGTGTCCAGCCCTAGCAGGTGCTTCGGCGAGAAGGCAGGTCCCCCGGGGTGGGTACACCTTCCTAGGAGGAGAGGAGGGTTGGAGGAGAAGCGAATCGTCTACACGGTGTGTCTTATGCAGAGCTGTCATGGGGTTGTGAGTTGTGATGGACTCAAATCAGCCCATAATCAATACCCACTAAGAGCTCTGGGGGTGGTGTGGCCCCTGATTGCACTTCGAGGCTTCAGTAGTTTGAATCTTCTAGCGATTTTCAAGGGAGCCGGGTAGGGAGTCTCCTCGCCTTCTCATGGAGGCTGGCTGAGAGTTTGATTTCTGAGAAATTTTTATTATTTTTTTTTTAATTTTATTTTACTGTTTTGTGTGCATGTACCGTCAAATCAGATCTGACTGGTACAGGAGGAGATTGTCCCTCCTCCGGCAGATCATCTGGTGGATGCGAACCGTGTACCTTTGAGATTGCAGTGCAGCTTCTTGCCACTAGGCCACCGGAGCGCTCCTGAATTCTGAGAAGTTTTAAGGAGCTTACTGGTAAGGAATTGCGCTGCCAGCACGAAAGGTACGCAGTTCGAATCCACCAGCTGCTCCTTGGGAGAAAGATGGATAGTCTCCTCCTGGGCGACTCACTGCTTCTTGAAAACGGGCTGGAAGGTCAGCTGTGGGTCAGTTCTGACTGCGGTATACAACGACAGGTGGCCTAGTAATGAGGGCTACTCTGCAATCCCCAAGGCACCCTGTGTGCACTCACCAGCTTGCTCCAGTTAAGATTGCACCGCCAAGTCCTTTGAGTTTTAAGCGCTGGCTTGTAATTCTCTAGCGGGCATTTTTGTTACTAAATACCGTAGTTTAGGGCTGAGCATAGTGGGGTATCTAATCCCAGTTTGTGTCTCAGCTATCGTGGGTTCATTATTTAGTAAAGTCACTTTAGTCGTTTATTTACTTTAGATCTTTAGCTTTTTACAGCGGAGAGCTAATGTAACTTTATTATATTTACATTTTAAGCACACTTTACGCCGATTCTTATTAACTGGGGTTAATCGTGTGACCGCGGTGGCTGGCACGAGATTGACCAACCCTCATCAGTATAGCTTAGTCAAGCTTTGGTTCGTGGCTAAATTTTTATTACTGCTGTAGTCCGTGGGGTGTGGCTAAGCAAGGCGTTTTGCGCCACAGTTGTGTGCTTGATACCGGCTCCGTGGGGATCGTTCTGGGTAGAGCGACTAAAAGGGCATTTTGACTGGTTAGCGGATACTTGCATTATAATCTTACTGACAATTAATAATAAGGCTCGGTCCAAACCTTTGTGTTTATGGGGTTCCGTGAACCCGTCTAGGCATTTTCAGTGCCTTGCTTTCAATTAAGCTACATTAACTTAAAAAATTTTGAATTTTCGAATCTAGGGACATGGCTCTTAAAAAAGAAATTAAACTATTAAAGTAACAAAATAGTACTAGTCGGGATTTAATTATTATAAAGTGTAAGTATTAAGTAAAGTTAATACTTGGCCTTACTGTCCTTAATGCTTTTGATGTCTTGTTTTTGGGGTTTGGCAAGATAAATTAGCAGCAAACTAATTTTGATTACGTAAGGGGGGTAGGGGGGCTTGCGTAAGAAAACCTAATACTTGAAAGAAAACGTACACGTGAGTGTGTCCGTACGCGTACACGTGGGTGTGTCCGTACGCGTACACGCGGGTGACTTGAAAATTAGGTATAAAAAAAGTTATGTCCTGTGACCATTGACTGAATAACACCTGCGTTTATGTGAGCTCGAAGAACATTTTCCTGTTGGGTCTGCTTCAGTTAATTTGACTGTATTAGGGTTGGTAACCCAGTTGAATCGGGCACCCCGAAAATTAAAAGATAGCAAATGCATGACACCACAGTTATGTGTGAGCATGGGCTGATTAGTCACAAATCCATCATGATGTCTTATTTAAGAGGAAAGAATGGGCGATTTTAGGTGAGATGGTCCTGAAGAAAGAACCAGATGCCAGGTATAGTTTCAGTATAGAAACCCCCACATTTAATGGGCCCAGAGCGAGCAGAGAGGTATAAAGTGGAAGTGTTGTTGGTTTCTCGAAGCATGGTAGTTATGGAAAGATAAGGGTGCTGATAAGCACGGTTTGAAGGATAACAGTGGACTTTGGGTGGATTAAGGGTGTGATGTAAGTGAATAGGGCTCTAGCAAGGATTTTTAATACTAGCTTATATGCATGGGGATAATAAATGTATGCACGATTAAACATGTTGTTGTTGTTGTTATGTGCCATCGAGTCGTTTCTGACTCATAGCGACCCTATGCACAACAGCTCTAAACCCTGCTCTATCCTGCACCAACCGCACCGCCTCTGACACACCCATCCCGATTACCCCAGTCACCGAATCAATCCATCTCATAGAGGGTCTTCCCCTCCTGCGCTGTCCCTCC